TAACAATAAATATATTTTTTTTTTAACTATAAACGGTAGGCGTAATTTAACGATATCGTTTTTATTATAGTGTAAACTATGATTTACATATTTTAATTTTTTAATTATTGTACTGCAGTTCATATGCAAACAAAATTATAAGTCATGATCGTTTTCTCCTAATTCCACACAGGTTTTTATGTCACGTTACATTATGTAATACAAATTATTAATAATATGTGGTAGAGCTATTTAATAATTACCGATTTTTAATCAAATTATTATCTACTTTTATTATTGTAATTATTATTATTATATAATTCACTGTCATTGTAATGTTTTAATAGTAATAATAATTGTACAATGTTTTGCAAATAAATATGGTTGTGGTTTATTAATCAAATTGATTACCAGACAGGGTTTTATTACAATTACATTACTTACAAGGTTATATTATTTAATAATTAAAAGACACCAGCAAAAATAGTGTAGTATTTTTAACGCATCAGTTATAGTCTAAGTTTACTTTACCAACCAGATGGCGCTTATCTATTGCTTCCAATTATTGTGTACACATAATTTTTGTTTCAATGATAAGTGCTACATAATGACACTCACACTTAAGTATATTTTATTCCCTAAAGATTGCAAATTTACTTCTATCGATAATTATTTTACATCTACGCCTACCCGCTTCTGTTATATCGTGACTTCCTCTTATGTATTTTTTTAAAAATAATAATTTAAACTTATCGACTAAAATAGTAAGAGCTATTTGGAAAAAAAAATAATTAACCCTTTTTGCTAAGTACTTGAAAACAAATCGAAATAATTTCATCAAAAAAATCTAATGGTGTATGATTTCGTACGGTAACCCTCAATTTTATATCAGTTGTAGCTTGCCGCAATCGTTTTTAAAGGTCAAAGCTAATTTTTGACAAATCTGACAGAGACAATTTAATGTCTTAATTGTAAACTAAAACACCCTTCATTTAATCATTATAGTTTCTTAAAATGGCTAGTACGACAAAAGTTTTAAAAATGCTAAAGCTTTTCAAAAAAGTGATCACTGTCGTTATTTTAAAATATATTCAATATATTTATGAATATTGTGTTATTTCCAAAAATATATGGAAGCAATTAATTTTAGGTAATGTAAATAACCAAATGTCTAGTAAAAAAGGCCTATTTTTTATATTTAATAATTATTTGTTAGTGCACATATTCGCGAAAGTCGACTTCAAATTTTAAATTTCCTACTATGCACAATAATTGTGTCTATCTGCAACTTTAAATAAAGCCTAATTTTACTAGTTGTAAACCTACACATAAAAAAAATTAATTTTAAAAATAAAGTTTTGTTTTTTTTATTAATTGTTATTATTGTTATTGATGTAAGAAGTGAATCATCTCTATCGTGTACACAACATCTAGACGTAACTTGTTTTGGACAAAAGCCAGATCTAATTAGAGTCTTTTAAAAAAAAAACTGTATACAAGTATTATACACATGTGTGTGCGCTCAGTGCATTGTGTGTGTGTTAGCTTATGTGCGTTTAACAGAGATCAATGTCCAGGGAACGATGAATTTTGGCCCAGGACCAGAAGTGTAAATTGAAAAACATCCTAAAACCAACACGACGACATCACTAAATTTTACTGTATTAAAATACTCTTACGCAATTATGAAAATTAAACAAGATGTTGCATAACTTGAAAAATCTTAAAATTTGCATTTTAAGTTAAAAAATATTCGTATACCTACTCGAGTGTTTTGTAAGGGTACTATAATTGTTTTTTAATTTTAAATTATCGAAGGAACTCTAATAAAATTAATTTAATTATTTATGTCGCATATTGTTTGAGTAAAACTGCGGAAAAATTATATATAAATATATAATTAGCGTTTAATTTTTTTCTACACAAAGTAACATAAAAACATTGATTTTTAAATTTGATTCTTTGATGTATTAAAATAAAAATATCACACTTAGCTTTTGCACAAGTCTTTAAAATTGTTCTTTTTTAATTCTTATGAAAGTATTTAAAATATTAACGACGGGTTTACAGGGGGGGGAATTAATAGTTAAACTGTGTTTAAAGTACCACTAGAGTTTAAACATCAGCTATCGATTCATTATACCTTTAAAAAACGTTTATGCATCCTACCACAAGTATATTTGTATTATATTAAAACACATTGCACGTTACGAACTCATATCCAATTTGTTACCATCGAGTATATTAATATTAATCACATTTTCATCATTTAAAAAAAAAAATGATAAAATTATTATTATAATAAACCATAATCATAATTACCATTATTTGAATTAACATTGAGACTAGGTGAAGAGACAGTTTAGGCTACCAAGAAATCAAGGAAGCGACAAGTGCTTGTTAGATGTGGTAGTAGTGTTGTTAGTAGTGCCCACACTTCTTTACCATATCCGTCAAAAAAAGTAACGACTAAAAAATTAATCACAAAACTCAATTTTTTATTTTAAATACATAAATAGTTATATAAATTAATAATAAAATGATGTAAAAATTAAATATGAAACAAAAATTGACTTTAACTTTATTATCGGGTTTTAATAAGAATTTTGTAGAAATAATTTATTATTATGGGTATAATTTAAAGAAAATCACGTTTTATTTGTAAATTATATCTTAATAAATTAATGACTGAATAAAAACGCACGATAAATTTTAATATGTGCAATCCAGTTAATTTGCGTTAATTAGGCAATTCATACTTATGACGAAGTCGTGAAAAGTATCATTTAGATAATAAAAGTACTTCAAAATAATTGTCTTTTTATCAATGCTATAATAAGCCAATAAACACTATTTCACTTTGGCACGGGTGGAATTTTCTCCTGCGGGTGCCCTAGTAAACATTCCGATCTCGTTACTTATTACTTTATTGGCAATTACACTTGCTTACATTTCAATTAGGTACTACTCGTATTTTATTGATAGTTTAATTACACATAGCTTATTATTATAGGTTAAAAAAATAATTGGGCATTACGCTCATGACAGACTTTTTTCTTGGGTCGTTACTCAATTTAAAATTCAAACGGATCTTTTTCTCACGGTTAATGTGGAAAAGCGTATTTTATAGCAATTATTAAGTATATCATAATTTTAAGTATAATTTTTAATTAATGATCAAATACATAAGTATATATATATATATATATATATATATATATATATATATATATATATATTGTTATTATCAAGTATCCACCCATAGGTTAGGTTAGGTTAGGTTTCTTCTTTAAGAAAATCAACAGAATCATTTTCAATCTAATTTCTGGTTAAAGCTGTACTTGCGAAAGACTGATAACAAATAAATAAAATACCAATAAAGAATTCGAATGATTAGGTTATTAAAAATATACAATATAATTTTAGCTCTAAAAAACGTTCCGAAAAATTGCCTATATCGAACGCCTTAAAAAGTAGTAGTCGTAGCCTTCAAAACAACAAGTTTTCATGGCAGAAGTTTAAAAAATCACCACCTTTTAATGAAACTTCCCCGGAAATTCAAATTTTGACTATTCATAAACAATAAAAGGTAAAATTAAGTATTAAAAAATGAATTTTAATGTAATTATCAAATTAGCGATCAGTCTTTTTGACAACAGAAGTTACAAATTACAATCATCACATCATTCAAACGCTAAAAATCCACTTTTTACATTTTTCTTGTTTTGGCCATCAATTGTGATACCTACCTATGATACTACTCGTCTTTAATTATAAAAAAAACCTGCATAATGATAGAATAAATATTATCTGCTTCGTTTTCTTTTTACAATATCATAATATAATTGGTTTAAATTACTGATCACGTTTATAAGTACCTAGTTATTTTATAATCTGTTTAATTAAGCAATTTATAAATGGTCATTAATTAATTTATAATCTTGATCTACGTCGCCCTCTTCCAGTTTTTTCCTTTATTTTTTCTTTAGTTATTAAAATTACACAATTTTCTGTCTCTCCTTTATTGTACTCTATATTGATTCTCGTTTGTTAATTCGACAGTAGACTCCCAGGATTTTAGCATAAATACATGACTGCTTACGCAGATCTCGTTTTACTCGGACCACAATAGTTTTAGAGCTGAAACACTTAAAATGATATTCAAAAGAAAACAACATTTAAAATACTAACAGTTTATTTTTTTAAATATTTCGTAGAAAACAAACTATCGCGGTTTTGAAAGAAAAAATCAAGTATCAAGTTGAATAATGAATATACTGAAAAAAGATGTCATTTTAGAGACAAAAATTTGTCTCTAGTTTAGAAAAATAGTTTAAAATGCTGCCAAGAACGTTGTAATGGTCCGACAAAATAATTAATTACCGATAAAAAATCGTGATACTAATAAGTATACATAATTATTTTTAGCTTCAAAATCAAGCATTTTGACAAAAATTGCCTATACAGTACGCAAAATGAAATTTTTAACTTCTATATGTGCAGTTGCGAAGGTACTTTTTTACCCTATGCCTTGTTTTTTAGATTTTTTGTTCGTCGTTGGTATTCGAACGGCAAGCTTTGACGGCGGCAGTTGTAGAGGGGTGCGTGCAAGAACAGCTGCAGCTGCAGTTGAAAACCACGCTTATTGTCCTGCGGGGCGCGTGCAGTGCGTGCACAGCGTACGGTATTATTTTCGCCGGCTGTCGGTAAACACTGTCGTCGTGGCGTGGCCGTTTGCAGTAGTAGTAGAATATTATAATACCGGTCGGTCGGTCGGTCGGTTGGCGGGCGGGTTGACGACCGGGGAAGGGCGAGGGGAAACAAACACGGTGACCGTTGGACTCGCCGCCGCCGCCGCTTCCTCCTCCGCCGTATCCCGACCGACGCGCCCTCCCCCGCCGACTCACCGTTTCCCCCACCGCGGCCGTCACGCTGCACCACCGCCGCCGCCGCCACCACCACTGGAGTTTGTGTGCGTCACGCAATGCGCGCGCCGCCGCTCCGGTACGTTGTCCGGATTCTTTTCGCCATTCCTGGCATTCCACAAACAGAGCGCGGCTTCGTGTGTTTGTAACCAGTAACCAGTTGAATACAGCGACTGCGTGTGTGCGTGAATTATATTGTGGACGTCCGCACCGCACCGACGACGACGACGACAGCTGCCCGCCGACCAGTAGTAGTATTGTGGTAAAATAATAATAATAAATCTAAAAATCGACGGTGCGTTATAATTAAATACAATATTATATTTTAATATTGATAATAAAATTATATAACGACGACGACGACCGAGACTACCACAACGTTTCCATAAGAACGGGGTAAGTGAACGATATAATAAAATCTATTATAATCCGCAGTAATAACGGCGGCGGTGGCGCGTTTGAAATATAATAATAACAGTATTCTACTTAGCTTATCAATCCGCGACGGGTCCCAAATAATAACGGTCACTCCGGCGTTTGAATTTGTTTTTTTTTTTTAAATCGCTTTCCGGTTCTGTCTTATCATCTCGCCGCCCGCCTTTTGCGTCATCGTGTCGCAGCCGTTATTTATGTTAATTTTTCTTGTCGATACTAATTACTACTTCCGTCGGACGATCGAGGAGTACGGTTTTAACACCCTTAATTTATGCAAGAACAGTGTTGTCCGCAAAAGCCGTCGGGGTCGTTGTTCGGTGGCTTGTTGTAACGGTCGCCGTCGGTTTATTGTTTGTTTTGTTATGGTTTTTTTTTTTTTTTTTGACTAGCCGAGTTCCGAAAGCGCGCGTGCTCTTCTTTGTGCTTTTAATGTATTACTAACGAAACACTGGGATTAGTATCCTCTAATGTAGTCTCTAATATAACCTATTAACACACGATTTCATTTGAAAGCCAAAACGCAAATGCATTGTCCATCGATAGATTTTCCAGCGTTTAATTTTCACATAAACCGTTCTCGATCGACTCGTCTATTTTGGCTTAACTCGACGTACAAATCGAGTGGGTTAATTTAATTAGTAATAATAATAATAATAATGTCGGCATACGGTATTCGGTTTTTGACGTAATCAATCCACTAGGAGGCACCCGTGTAGTTTATTTTCAGTTTTGGTCGTGTGTATAACTGTAGGGTAATCCGGTAATGGCAATAATAATAATAATAATAATGAACACCGCTTTATTTGGCCGTCGTTAAGTGGTTTTTAAACGGTTTGCCCAAAAACCACCCAACGTCGTTAACGACCTAACGGCCTACAGTGTTTTGTCGAGATATAATATTAGTACAGTACGTATACCAGTACAATGGTTGATGTTGAATAATAATAATATATTATTATTATTATTAATAATCGCGAGGACACGGATTCCCTTCGGTAATCACTTTGACCAATTTTACATTAAATACTCAAAACTCGGTAAATAGACATTTTGTTATGATGATTTTATTTGTACGGTCGAAAGTAGGTAACGCTAATGAAAACATTCATTTTGAAAATACTAGTAATGATAATCCGTTCACTAAGCTCACGGTAGATAATAATAATACGTAATTAAACAAAAATATCGGTACAAATATAGCTTCTGTATTTATAATTTATTTCCTACACTCCTGTTGGACTTCTGGTCTACACGGAAAAGCGGCTAATGTCTAAAATTTGATCATTTTTGGTAAACGATATTGTAATTTAAGAATCAAAGAGAAAACCTCCTACCACTACGCTCTCTTACATAACACATTTTTTTTTTTTTTGATTTGCCTTAACGTTAAAGTTTTTTGGGTAGCGACTCACTTTTAGTTACTTACGTTTTTATGACTAAAGAAAATGTTAATTATTTTTGTAGTTGTTATAATTTTTCTTACTTTTTGTGTAACTTACCGGTTTTTAGTATATTAACGGTTTGAAAACATATCAATGATCGTAGTTAAATTGTTTGTGTGCTTTATGATTTTAGTAAAAAAACAACCCTTAAAGTTGAATTTCCTATTTGCTTAACTTCATTTTTTGGCAAAGTAGATGATTATAAAATTATGTTAAATTCAATAAAGTGTGAGTATGGTAATATTAATTATTTTGTTTTTAATAAATAAATAATTTTAAAGCGTGTGATAATCGTAGACGGGTCTTTCTTTAGCAAAGCTACACTTATTAATTAATGCTACACGTGTCTTCATAAAATGTATCCATATTTAAAAAAAAATCTTCTGTCGTACGCGAGATCATCTAGCAACAGTAATATAATAACGTTGATAATGATTACTAACTACAGATGTAAACGTGTGGCAAGTGGTTTATGTTGTTAAGTCTGCTAATAGAAAATACAACGCAAACTTAGGGTCGGTTTCGCGCCACCGCTCGTCCCTTGCGGCACAAATCCCTTGAGGCGGATAACCTTAACCAATGTACACACTTACACCTCGTCGTTTCCATTTACATATAATTTCACATCGTTTGACTTAAATTTGTCACGCAATAAATTATTTTAGTACCTACCGAAAAGCCCAAAAATTAATACATTTCCATTTGAACAATCCTAATAGAATTATTGAAAACACTTGTAGGAAGTTTGATATTAGCTACTTAACATTTTATAATGATGAATCATGTTTATTTCTCCAATATTGAACTCCTCGACAATCTGACAACGAAAAAAAGAATGCGTTTTTAAAAATTGATTTTGATTTTATAAAACTATTGATTGTAGTTTTTCTTGGTGTCCAGTAATCGGTGTAAAGTTGTCGTCTCGCGCTAGATTATCTTAATAGATACTTCATTTAAATAATATTGTGGCGTTCACTTCTTAATTAATGCATATTTTACTACTGACGTGTGTCTCGTTATCTCATTGTACCTAATGTTAAAAGAATTTTTAAACAAAATTTCTTCCATTTATTAAACACTTGTTTGTTAGTGTTTTTTGGATCAAATGATGACTTTTTACTACAAAGATATATTTAGATGTAAATATTTAATAGTATATATTTTATTTGGTATTTATTTGTTTCAAAAATATTTTAGTATAAATCATTTGTCGGTGGGTCGCTAACAAAGACCAACAAAATTACAAAAAACGTATTGGTGTGATTTTACGAGGTCGGTATTATCGTTTTAGTTATCGTTCCTTTGACATGCACGACCGGACAGAAACGTTGGCGTTTTGACGACTACTTATATCGGTATAATAGTTTAAAAACAAAAGGAAAAGACAATAGTCCTAGATACATGTACTGTTAATCTGTATGTTGGTTGATTAACCGCGTTTTAGTGGGTATAATATTTTCAATAATAAGCCACCATTTTAATAAATTGTCATTTATTTGACGAAAAAAATGCTACAAATTTAGAAAAGGTCGCAAAAAAAAAAAAAAGAAGGTTATACGAAAAATAGACACGCCGATATAATTTGCAGTGTAATAATAATAATAATAATAATTATAACGACATTGTGTGTTCTCTTAAACATCTGCCGGTGACCCCGATAACCCAATTAACACCGTACGTGGCGTTTTGCACGATTTCAAAATGCTTAAGTTTGCATGCGCCGCACTCTACACAAAAAATTAAACAACTAGGTATGAAAATGATTCCGAACGTAACTAGCTTGTGTTTTTTTATACCGAGAAACCATAGCGATTAGGCATCGTTTTTTGTAACTACAATTAATAATTAGCTTTTATAAGCTCGGTACGCGCAAAAAAAGAAGCGGTGAGACGCCGGTTAGGTTATCTTGTATGTGCGCGCTGAATGACGTCATAAATAGCGATACGGGTAGATAACTACCTGTTCGGCATTAAAACGATATTAAGTACGAAAGTAACACTCGGACGGTGTATTAGGTTCAATATCATAATAATTAAATTTCTAGAAAAACACAATTATTACAGTGTATGGTCGATTTGTCGCACGCTATCCATTACTTTTTAGAAAATATCCAGCAAATGTGTAATAAAAAAAAACTTTTTTTCAAAAAGCTCGTTCCAGTTAAGTTTTTTTGGGTATATACCAAACATTTTATGAGCTTAAACAAAAAAAAAAAGCTTTGTTTTTTAGCCTAGAAATAAATATTTAGACTAGAAAAGATTGAGGGCTTATTCGTTAAGTTTCTAGTTCTATCTGGTCCGTTCAGAGATTACAATCTTTTTAACACCGGAAGAAAACGAAACTAAGTATATAATATTTGTATGCTCAAACGAAATCGTGTTCGATGTGTTCTTATTGGCCTTTAAATATACATATATACTATTAAACAATATAGAATTCTTATATACAATACAAACAACACATGTTTTATTATTTCGAATATCTACAATTATTAATAATGTAAGGTTTCGTGAACCAATTTTAAAAACGAAGTCAAATAAGTTTCAATACAATAAAAGTCACGACATGTATGATTAAAAGCTAATTTTTTTTATTTTCTTCTTTATTGTACTAGTTACTTATGTGCCAGCGTTATTGCTTAATATTTATTTTGCATTTTCTTTACTTAGTAAAACTATTGAAGCAGTAGAGTTTAATAAAATTTTCAAAGTAAACTACCGTCGGCGATTTTAAAGCATATATGTATATTTATTATCATTTGGTGTTTTGATTTATAGTGTATTGAACGGTATTGTTTGCAATCGATCGGGCACTTGCTTTTCAAACCTTTTACACGGTACTGTAAAAATTTGATTGGATGTGGTAGTATCAGTAAGGATTTGTGAAATATCACAACTTTAATTTTACAGATTTACTCATAGTATTTTTGACACATATTTTGAACAACACGATATTATTATAGGTTTGATACATTGTTTACTTCCGCGTCGTAGATTTTCAGCTTTTCATTATAAACGCATTTGTTGCTACTGAACAAATAAATCGTATTCTTCAAATGTGGTTTTTCGTTGGCAGATAAACACAGACGTTTTTATTTTCTGATAATCGAGATATGGACTGCAGGAATATACGGCGGTGACGTGAAAATGGGTATCAACGCGCACCTTAGGCCTTACAACATGAAATAAGGTCAAAAATAAATAAATGCTCGATCGCTAACGTTCAAAGTATTATCCTCGAGGGGATAATAATAATAATTTTAAATTGCTTTTTCATTCAAATATAATATACACTCGTACGCGTTAAGCCCCGGGGTTTAGGCCATTAGTCATAAAATTTTATTACGTACGTATTATGCGTGTACTTATGCGCTCTAACGCCGTTTATACTCAGGCTGGTCTCGAATATTTAATTATCGGAAAACTCTTCGTCCTCTCTCTCCCCCCCCCCGTCCGCGGCACTGGTGTCGCGCAAAGCCTTTGATCTTGTGACGACTAAAATCGATAAAAACAAATCGATTCGTAAAATTATCGTTTGCAAAAATCCGTTGTAGAGTCCACTATCCGAGACGAGATGGTATCTCTTTCGCGGATGACAAAACACGAAGTCTTTTTTTTTAACCCCCCTAAAAAAATTACATAATTTATATTATTATGTTTAAACGACTGTATCCCTTCCACAGTCGTTTGTCGAATGGCAGCAAACGCTTAACGATGAAATTTATCCCGCTTGCTGCACTCCTTCGGTCAACTTTGTATGTGTGTCTGTGCGAGAGATTCATTGCGACGGGCTTAAAATTAACAACCTACCCTGGACGACGATGACTACGAGGTTCTGTAAGCGCGTTTGTGCAACAATAGTCGGTAAAAGTACTAGAAGTAATAGTAAAAAAAAAGTACGCACGGTTATAACAGCAAACAGGTGGCCAACGCGAACCGACCCCGCAAATACACACACACACACACACACTTTTCTTCTCGGTAAAATAATATTATTGTATATTATGTATTAAATATAATAATTATCATCTTTACCGCCAGCTCAGAAGATTATTTCGTCATGATGACACTCTCTGTGATAAAACTGCCACCGCCGTTGTTTAAATAATCATTTTTCAAACAACTAGAAGAAGACCTTTCACTGTTATCCGATTTTATTATCTTTTTAATCGTTTCTCGTAACAACAACAACAACAATAATAATATAACATATTAATATTATTATATAAAACGCACGCACGTTTATTGTTGTGTTGATTTGCAGTGTACTCTCAATGTGTCGAAATACGTTTCGATATAATATATAACAGTAACTTGGTATTATTTCTGGCTGCTTAAGCACTTAATCGGGTGAACTCCGTTTTTTTTATAATGTTTTCTGCTACCCGTCTTTGGTCTAAGGAGTTTTTCTTGTAAATTTTCACTTCCTAGTTGTAAAAAACATTATAATAAATTTAATTAATAAAAACAATGGGAGTCGTTGGCATTATTTTGACACGAGGCAGTTGCAAGTCGGAAAATGCTTTTTATATAATTAATTCATAGTTTAGAAAGGAAATTAATTGTTTGGTTGGGGATTTCTTAATAGCGCGAATAAATATGGTAATAATTAAGAAGTTGTACGTGTTCTTTTTAACTATGATTTAAATTTCTTAGTAATGTGTAAATTATCGGAACTTGTTCATTCGAGTGAAAACAAATATTATCGATTACAGTTTGAGAAACTGAAAATATTACGGTCATAAAATCACTGCCAATCTGTTTGCAGTTTCACGTTTCAAAATACATAAATTTTGAAGGGAGGGACGTGGGCGGACAGCTTGGCTAAACTGTATTTTTTACTTATATATTACCTATTAGGTGTGACTCTTTTAATAGTTGATAATATTGTTTAATATTTACTTTAAAAAAAAAAAAACAATTATTTTTTTAGTTACCACTCTTTGGGAAACGACAGCCTAGTCGGACGATTTGCCCATGTCTTAAGTCTTACAACGCGATGACTATATATTGTTTTGCAGTTGTGTGTTCGCTAAGATCCAAATCGCTTGTACTAATAATATATATTTTCGTGGTACTTTGCCAACATAATTAAACCGACGCCGGTTTTTTTTTCGTGTGCCCTCGCTAACTCCGTCTACCAAAATCTGCGTTTTCCTGTAAACGTTTGATCGGGGAACGTCCCGTTGCCCTTCCCGCTTTTTAATAATAGTTAAAAACAAACATAATTAATGATCAGGTGTATGTATACCACCCAAGGCAAAACGAGTTCTGCATGACACACAAATACACTCACTCATTGCGCACTGAGTCATCGCGGTAGGTCCCCACCCAATAATTGGTAGCATCGTGCCAAAATCCTAAATAATTATAAAAATGACAATAATTTATTTAACGCGGCGATTGGTTATTTTTTTTTATATGTTTTTTTCCTTTTTCAGGTCCCACGATCGTTCGTTAAAATTGCTCCTTACCATATGATGGGAGTTACTGAAGGTGAGCTACAATTTTCTATTATAATTAACAAAGAAGTCATGTATCCATTAAAGTACCGACAATTCCCTTATAAACAAAACGATTCATTATGATTAGTTCGTTTCCACTGGTGTTAGCAGATGTAAGAGGAAGACAGCCTCTACTATTGATTCTATTGATTTAGCAGCGTCTACTGACTTGTAGGAATATAACAAATTAAAAAGCAATACATAGTAATAGTAATAATATATTATTATTTTTTAATTTCAAAAATTCACTAAGAAAATAAAAACTTAGATAATTTTTTTCTTTCTAGTTTCTATTAGAGCGGTCGACGGATTTTTTATTATTCTTGTTTTTTGTTTTTGTAAGGGTATTTCAAAAAATCTGTCAACATTAATAAACTGAATAACTTTCAAATTTTGACAAAGTGTAAAGTGTACGTGAAAACCAGACTTACGACATTCAAACAAAATTACTGCGTTAACCCTATACTTTCTCGGCTTTGTGTGCAAACAGCTCAAATGCTTTATTTTGTATTGTCAGTCTTTTTTTTATCACTCAGGAACCTTAATCCTTCCTTTGGGTATATGCTTTTTCACCCTTCAGTTTCATATCGTTCATCGATCAATTGAGTGGAATAAATTTTGCAGCCGCCTACAACAATCGCTTCCCTCGTGAAGTACTAACGCAGTTATCACCCCTTTCAGCATAAACATACATTAATAATTGGTTTTTGTTGTAAAAAAATAAATAAAAAACACTCGATATTGTTCTTTTTATCATTATGCAGCGAGAGGTTAATATTAAAATGCTATAGAGATTATGTGTGATGAGCTGTCGTGTAGAATTAATAACGTTTGAAGGTGTCCACAATGGAATTGTTTACGGTTTTACATAAACGATGGTCACTCGAATATTCACGTTGTCGCCAATATATTTGCATTAGCCATTACTCGAACAAGGCAAACATGAAATCATACACAAATGTGATTTGTGTTAATTACTAAAATGAATAATAAAAAAAAATAGGTAATCGTCGGTCAAGATTGATATTTATATAGTATGTAAATACACGATGTCACGTGAATGTGATGCTTATAGAATTTAAACGCGGTGCACGTCGCATGTATTATAAATTAAATGATCACACCGTTTGTCTATATATACACACACGATTGTTTGCTTGATTCGCTGACCGGTCGATAATTTTTACAAAATATCAGTGGGAAAACAATTATTGTAATACCAATGACGTCGGTCACGACACCTTCTGAAAAACTGTGAGAGAGGTTAATCAGCCAGACTACATCACCGGCTACTACATTGCACTCGTGTACTGTATTGTTATTTTTTAAAAAATATTTACTATAAACCTGTGTTCGATAGCGTTTAATTAATGCAGTGTGTGTGATATGATTTTCCTTATCAGTTTAATTGCGTCAACCGGTGAGTTCGTACTGCCGTACAATAATATAATAGTAATAATATGATTATGAGTCGTAGATGTCGGGTCGGCTAAACGCTTCGAATGGAATAATTAAGGTTTAAAATTGTTAAGCTTAATAAAATATTATTATACAGAAAAACATGTTAATGTTTCACCTATCGGCTGAGGTCTTATCTGTGTTATCCTATACGTTCACTAATACTTGTTCATCGTATTAACCTTTGATAGTCGGGTAAATTGAACCGTTGCAATAAACAGAGCAATAGTTTAATGGTAATAATATGCAATACGGCAATATCAAAATAAACACTACAGCTTACGAACGAAACAAGCGTTGGATCCGAGATTTCTCCGAGTTACAAAAGGTATCCGGCTATAATAGAAGGATACATATAATTAATACACCTTACATAATAACAGTCACGCAGCCTTTTAGCAGACAATCGAGGAACAGCGAATGCGCTTTGGAACTATTGATCTCTCCGCCAGTCTTTGGACATCGCAGTTACCATCGGATACCGATTGTTTAACATTAATTTATTAATGAGATAATAATCACTCTTCGAGACAATTTTACGGATTGGTGGTCGTTTGTAATATTTTTTCGATGTAATCAATACACTATACACAGCTGGCGGAGCAAGTTTTTATAAATATAGCAGTTTTAACAGTAATAATTGTTTAACATTGTCATATCTTATAAAGAATGTTTATCAACGCTAGGACTAATAGATCAGATCTGTTATCGCCGAGACCGTGGTCTTTAGATTTTATTGGTTTTTATCGATGAAATAGATATTGTTTTCTAATTTCATAATAGTTTCATTTCGACGAAAACCCACTAATTGTCGACATAGGGTTTACTTGGTTATCTGATGAAAATTTAAGGACTTTTGACCTTGTGTTCTGACATTTACGATTATATTGTTCCCACGCGTTTGTCTTTTATATGAATATTTAACATTTTTAAAAATAATTTTGCCATACAACTCGTCCTCTGTATGTTTTTCCTTTACTACCCAAATATTGAAGGAAAAAAAACTTAATTGAACTGATACCTTCTGATGAATGAACTTCACACAATATAGAGGTTAATGAACATAATATACACTGTAGTTATATACACTTTAGGATTATTGTTTTCACTTCTATCGTCGGTCGCCGCGCAGTTGGGCGGGGTCTGACTATTACAATAATAATAATAATAATAAAAATAGGTACAAAAAGACAAAGGGAAACACGAAGACAATGAACTTGGTGATTTGTTTAACAACTTCCGAGCAACATCATACACGCGGTGACTATATATGCGCGACGAATGTGAGGAGTGTACTTAAATTTGTCCAGGGAGCGAAATAATATTGTGTGTTGTCAATAATAAATAACAAACGATAGTAATACAACGTGACTACAGAATTTGTCGCAGGACATGCCGGGAATTAACAAAATAATAACATAATGATGACGTTTGGTGTTATTTTTCGTTTTACAATATACTCCTAATTCTTTGGTAACTTGGGTTCGCTGTTCACGGTACTAGGAGGTAATGGTGTAAAAAACTGTCGGCAATAAAAAAAATAAAACACGATATTTTATATCAAATATAAAAGTACGTCCAACTTGTGACACTAATTAAATTTATTTATATTTTTTTTTTATAATTGATACCAAACGGTCAACTCTCCCTGCTTGATATTCTTATGTGCGCGCGCGTTATTATTGCAATAATTAATCTTTTAGTCGCAATTTTTTTCCGTTACAACATTAAACTCGTTCCTTAATTTTTTTTCTGCAAATTAACAAATTTCTAATCGAGTTTTCGTTTAATATGTCTTAACTGACCACGACAGAAAACAAATTACAATTATTTTAACTTACGCGTACAAATCAATTTCTCAACTAAAAACTAATAGAAAAAAAAAATAAAGTGTGCGTGTTTGTATTTAATGGATTGTTAAAAACTTGTTATAATAAGTCGTAGGCGGAGGCGGACGGACGGATAAAAAGTTTTCAAAACTCAATTTGAAGTTTGCGCCGAAGTTATTCCGAGATAGTTTAAAATGTATTTTTTCTTTCGTAGCTAAGAACGGTGTATAGTGTGTACATATTATCATATCCGTTGGGCCTCTGCACAGCAATCGTTTTGCTCATTAAACGACGTTGTCTCCGGGCCGCCGACGTGATTGATGATAAAATCGATAGTCACGTTGTTAGTAGGGAGATTTGTAGAGGAGCCGTGGAGCAGCAGCAGGCAAGTGTCTCTAATGTCGTTCGATTTAAATCCGTAAAAATTATCAACGGGCAAAAAAATCGGATCTATAATGACTGGATGCAATTTTCGGTTCTGGCCACTGTGTAATTAGCTTTAATTCAATAGCGGTGGTTTTATTCGGTTTATTTGATTATTGTAATTCGCGACGAACAACGGGCGTCCCGTTTCGGTCGGTTGCCTTAAAAAAACCCGCTCGTATATACAAATCCGCGAGACCGTTTAAGTCGTTATCATTTTTTTAAAATTTATTTGGTTTTTTTGACTTTTCATTATTTGTCATTTTCCCCTCCCCTCCTTTCATTTTTTTTCTTTCCTCGGTATTGTTTACTATCGCCACTCGGGCTTAACGATCTGTAAAACTCTTTAGTCTGAGCATCGACAGCCTATATACGGATAATCTCTTTCTCTCCTTGGAAACCGATGAACTTGGTGGACGGGTGCACAACAGTAGCAGTAGGTATGGTTAAAAAAAAAATAAACCCAGATGAAAGGAACGCTGCGTTTTCCGGACGACAAAATCGCAGTTTTTTTTCTACGGTAATTGTTTACTCGCCTCTCTGTTATTGTTGTATGTATATATAGATTGAAGAATACTCGCCGCGGTGTTTGGGGTCACCCGAGCGGTAGTCACGATTTTCCGTTTTTAATTGCGTTATAAATCTTCGAGGTGATATTTCCGCATTGGAATAAATAAAAACGGATGGGATGTAAGTATAAAAAAAATTAAAGGAAGAAAGAAAAAGGTAAGAATAATAGCGTTATAATACATTATAATTTTCAGAACGTTTACCGACCCCAGAAACGATGGCATTTTTACTTAACGCGTTATAATCGTTCGGTAGAAATCGCTTTTGAGAAAGAGTGTGAGCGAGGGGGAGAAGGGGGCACTGACATTTTAATGGAATTTCATTAACCGGTAATACTTAGGCCGATGAAGTCAGCGTGCGCTGATACTTAAAATTCTAAGGGCTCAAGTTAAACGCTGTTTGTGGATTTTCTAGAATAATTTTGTTTGTACTCATTTATAATAATATATACAATATATGGGTGTATGTGTGTGTAGATTACGGTAATGGTGCATATTATGTGTTGTCGCTACTACCGTTTTTTTTTTGCTCCCACTTTAGTCACGATTTTTTCCAAACAAAAAAGAAACTCGTTAAAATGAAAACTTTATTTTTATTGTTGCGCGTAGGTGGCTGTTTTTTTTTTATTCTGTCTCTCTTCTTGTTCCTCACGACTACTATACGAACACTTACTACATTATAATATAATAACCGTTCTTCTGCCATCGTCGTT